GTGGACGGGGGTTTTGAGAAGGCTTTGACGATTGGAATTTGTCACGTACAGAAGCAGTGTGCAAACAGCCCCCCAGCGCTGCTGGCTGCCCCTCTGTGGGCCTCTTGGCATTTTCATTTCATGACCCACTATGAATAATTCTTACAGCTCTCCATCTCCCTGTTAGTCAGATGTCACACGCTCATTTTACTTCTTATCCTGGGGCCATACTTAAAACCAGGTGGCACTGCTTTGCCTCAGGATTCTGTGTTTTTATTCCCCATCATGACCCCACAGGAGCGCTGCCTGGGGGCGCTGGGAGTACACAGTGCCCACTACCGAGAAAGCGTCAGTTCACAGAAACAAAACTGGACTGTGACTACACCTGTATTCTTCCACTGCCCATGTGAGTAATTTTCTTTTTGGAGAGTTTGCTGATCAGTTTATGGACTGACTCAGGTTCCTAGTGTGAACAGGCTACAGATTTCTTGCCATTATAATGACCCAGCTGTTACATCCGACCCCACCGTATTTACCAGAAGGCACACGTCCGAGTGCCACGTCCATGGCATACTGGTAGGCATCTGTACAGAAAGGCTCTGGGTTGTGCTATGAATCTTTAAAGAACTGGAATGCGTCATTGAAAGGAAAAATAAGGATTTATTTTTCTTTCACTTCCGCTCTGCAGCATTCGAAGTTTGGACATTTGAAGCCACAAACCAAAATCAAAATGGCCAACATTCGCAGATGTCTGCTTCACATGGGTGCTGTTAGCTACTGTATTCAGAGAACTTGCCTTCAGGGGGTCTTTGGTAAGGGCAATGCTACCAGTCTTGGGAAAGTCTGGTCAATTCACGGAGCTGGGACAATTGTCCTGGCATCAGAATCACAAGGAGCCCAGCTGGAAATGGACTGGAAGGCAGAGTCGTACTGATCTCTCTCTGAGCCCACAGTGCCACAAGCCCTTTCAGCCTCCAGGGCAATATGGACGGCAGGCTGTCTGGGTTCTGTAGCCTCTCCTGGGGCTGCTGAGACCGCCAAACCTTCAGGTGCACTTCCACACAACAAAGGACATTTCAGAGAGCTGTTTCCTTGTACGAATGTCCTTAACTTCCTGTGATCTTTTGCCCTGGTTACTGACTGGCTCCCAAGTAAACGACAGAGCGTGAAACCAAGCTGAGTGCAGGTCACCGTCCTCACCAGTCCTCATGCCCATAACCAGCACCTGCAATCTGGCCTAACTCAGCTTTTTACATGGGAAAAACTAGATTTATATCTCCTCACACCGTATAATTTTTTTTTTTTAATCTAAATGTGAAAGGCAAAAATTAAAAACAACTGGAAGAAAGTATGCAAAGCTATTTTGTAATTTGGGGGAAGATGATTTCTTTAAAAAGCAATTATTAGGGAAAATATTGATATATACTATTATATAAATTTGAAACTTCTATCTGATCAAATATACTATAAACTAAGTTTAAAGACAAGCCACAGTCAGAGAAAACATATTTATGAGAGAACAGATAAAGATTTATATCCAAATCAAAATTAATACATACACTATGAATTAACAATAGTTGATTATACAGTGCTTATTATGTGCTGGGCAGTTTGAAACATACATGAATGTGCCTGGCCAGTGCGGCTCAATGGTTAAGTTTTGACCCACGCACCAAGAGGTCACTGGTTCGATTCCCGGTCAGGGCACATGTCCAGGTAGTGGGCCAAATCCCTAGTGGAGGGCATGCAGGAGGTGACCAGTGGATGTTCTCTCTCATGGATGTTTCTCTCTCTCTCCTTCTCCCTTCTTCTCTCTCTGAAATCAATAAAGAAAAAAAAAATTTTTTTTAAACATATGTGAAGGCACTTTATCCTAATAATCATCCTACAGTTATAAAGTAATCCTACTACAGCCCTGGCCGGTTTGGCTCAGCAGTTAGAGCGTTGGCCTGCGGTACGGAGAGACCCGGGTTCGGTTCCCACTAAGGGCACGTACTTCAGTTGCAGTTTGTCCCCGGCCCTGGTTGGTCGTGCGGGTGGCAGCCACTCGATGTGTCCCTTTCACGTCGATGTTTCTCTCTCTCTCTCTTCCTCTCTCTCCCTCCCACTCTATCTGTACAAAAAATGGAAAAATGTCCTCAGGTGAGGATAAAAAAATAAATAAATAAAATAAATAAAAGTAATCCTACTACACGCTTTCATTCCACAATTAGACACAGAGAATTTAGAGAACTTGCTCCATATCCCACAGCTGGTAACAGCCTGAGCCAGGACTCGGCAGAGGATATGAACAAGCAATTCAGAGAAGAAGAAATCTAATGACACTGAGTGGTGTCAGTGAAGGCCACGTGAGAAGCATGACAAAGAACTGCTAACTCACACAGCCATGAAGTGTCAGTGAAGGACTAGTAGGGAGAGAGAACGCTCACAATAGCCCAGCAGAAATGAGGAGTTACCCCCACAGAGATGTCAGTGGAGGCCGAGTGGTGAACCTGGACTTATACTCCCACCTGGAAGCTAGCTAAAATGCAAGGTTTAAAAAGATCCAGAGATGAGAATTTAGATCTTACTCCCTGGCATATATTGTCAGTTTGGTTCAAATAAAATCTTATTTAAAAAAGACTCAGAGATATAACATAATATACAAAATGTCCAGGCTTCCATTGAAAATCACAGATCATCCCAAGAATCCAAAAGAGTTCAACTGGATGAAAAGAAATCAATAGACACAAATACCAAGATGACAGAAGTGTTAGAATGATCATTTTAAAGTAGCTATCATAAAAATGCTTCAACAAGCAATTCCAAATACACTTGAAACAAACAAAAGATATTCTCAAAAAAAAAAAGAAAGAAAGAAAGAAAGAAAGAATTAGTGAGTCTCAGTAAAGAAACATATAAATAAGAACCAGACAGGAATTTTGGAACTGAAAAACACAATAACCAAAATTTAAAACTCAATAGCAGAATAGAGAGGAGAAAGAAAGGAATCAATAAACTGAAAGACAGAACAATATAAATCGCCCAATGTGAACAACATAATGAAAATAAACTGAAGAAAATGAACAGAGCCTCCGGCACTTGTGCGACTACAACAAAGATCTAACATGTATAAAGAACTCTCAAAACTCGTATGAAAGTTCTGAGTCTCCTAAGTCTGCCTTTTCCTCTCAGTGCTAATGGAATTTTAGTGGTCAGCCTAGAAACTGCAGATACTTCTAATAGTGGGTAAAGAAACATCTCAGGGAATAAAGAAGAAAACATTTTATTTTTCTCCACACCTCTGAGAAAATGCATTCTGTTTTGCACTATAAACTTTTCTTGCAGCCCTGGTCAGTTTGGCTCAGCAGTTAGAATGTTGGCCCATGAACCAGAGTCGCAGGTTCAAGTCCCAGTCGAAGGCATGTACCTGGGTTGCAGGTTGGATCCCTGACCCCAGTCAGGGTCCTCCAGGAGGCAACCAATCAATGTGTCTCTCTCACATCAATGGTTTTCTCTCTCTCTCTCCCCCTCCCTCCCTCCTTTCAACTCTCTTTTTTTTTTTTTTTTTTTTTATCCTCACCCGAGGATATTTTTCCATTTTTTGTACAGATAGAATGGGAGGGAGAGAGAGAGTGAGAAACATCGACGTGAAGGGACACATCGAGTGGCTGCCACCCGCACGACCAACCAGGGCCGGGGACAAACCGCAACCAAAGCACGTGCCCCTAGCGGGAACCGAAACCGGGTCTCTCTGGACCGCAGGCTGCCGCTCTAACTGCTGAGCCAAACTGGCCAGGGCTCAACTCTCTTTAAAAAAAAAAATCAATGGAAAAATATACTTGGGTGAGGATTAACAACAATAAAAAAAAAAAGAAAACTGTTCCTGCAAATGTTAGTGGACTTCCAAAATTGTTACTATAGAAGTAAATTTTTATATCTAAAAAGTTATAATTTTTTATTTTAACAATGTATTGCCCTGGATATAATATTTAGCATCTCCATTCTCTAGAAAGTTTAAATACTTTGAGTTTTATTTATTAAGACAAAAGAGGATCATTCTCACATCATTGTTTGCCCAAATACTAGGAGGTTAAGAACAAGCAACTTTTACCAGTTCATATTTTAAAAAGAGTTTGAGATATTGTTTCTCATAGATTTTAGAGAAGCAGGGAAGAATCAAAACTGCTCTCCTGATCAAAACTATTTCACAAGACACAATGTCAAAAGATGTTTTGAAAGATATATGTTAAGTAAAAATGATTAGGGAAACTATGTAAATATTGCCCTGGTCACAAAATTATGCTTCATAACTCCCCAATATAAAAGAAAAGAAACATTAAGTGCACCCTTACAGAAAAAGCTGGTCAAATGAAACAGAACAAGCTTTGAGCTATGATGTGGAATACATACATGTCAAAATTTATGGGATGCAGCCAAAGCAGTACTTAGAGGCTCTAAAATATAACTATTAGGAAAGAGAAAGGTTAAAAATAAATGATCTAAGTTTCTATCTTTAAAAGAATAGCAAATAAATAAAAAGATGAGGAGGAAAGAAATAAAGATAGATGCAGAAGTCAATAAAACAGAAAGCAGACATACAACAAAGAAAATCAATACCAAAAGAGTTGGCTTTTGAAAAATATTAATATATTATAAATGTTAGTAAGACTGGGCAAGAAATAAAGAGAGAAAACATGGATGCAGTGATGGCATTGGTGGGCCCAATGGCGAACTGAAGAGAGCTGGGGCTGCATGGAGGATCTTATGTCTGACCCTGGCAGCTTGCTATTTTTATAATATGGTAATCGAGTTAAGCACAAAGTATAGTAACTGATCTCCACTTCTTCCTGGATGACTGAGTGATGATGAAATAGTGGTGTCAGCATCCTGAACATACACAAGTGGGCAGTGTTTGGCTACTGCTTCTGTTTGAAATGATGCTGTGTTTGGTTGCGGCCCAAAGCTCTGAAGTGTTGCTTGGCTTCTCTCTTCCGTGGAGCTCCGACCACCCACACACAGTTAGAGTGAGTCTTGTTTACCTCCACTCAGCCATCTTTGCATGAATCCAGTAGGGTGTGGTGGGTTTTTTTCTTCTTTTGGTTTCTGGCTAATATTCATGAAGAGCAGTGAGTACCTAGAGCTATGCCCCCGATGAAAGGAAATCCTGTCTGAGAAGGTATATTTCTTTCCAGATCTGTGTCAGACCACCCCTTGGGCCCTCTGCTGGAAAAATAAAGTTAAGTCTCAAACACTGCCTTTCTCACTGTATCTTCTAGTGTCAGAGATGTGGGACAGTACTGTATCATACCTCTGTGAATGTAAAATATCTTGTACCTGCTTTATGATACACAGTAGTGACCATGCTTCATCAGATCTCTTTTTAATGATGCTGTTCTAGAATGTTTTCTTTCCAGATGATGATGGAGAAGATAATAAAAATAAATGGTGCCCTGTATCACAGCAGTAACAGAACTTGGCTGTTTTCGGAGGATTTGTTTTTTACCTTTTTTTAATGGAGTGCTCTGGAAATCTCTATAATTCTGTTCAGGTGACTACAGGACCTGCAAAAGCTGTTGCTGCTATTGCTGCATAACATGCTGCTATTGGTATTTATATACATGTATGTATATTTGAATTTTTGGAAACTTTAGCTGTGTTGTCAACTTTGGTAAAACTATCCCAGTTATGCCATGTTGGGTGGGCATTGTACAGAAATTAGCAGCCATATTGGTCTAGAAACGTTCAACATGATTTTTTCCATTTGTACAGGCATAATGCACTGTATTAAATATGCAAGGTCTTAATCTACATGGGTGTGATTACAGAAACTAATAAAATATTCTATAAATAATGAAAAAAAGAGAGAAAAAACAAATGACCAACATCAGAAACGAAAAGAAACACATTAATGCAGATTCCACAGATACTAAGATAGTAAGATATTATGAATAAATTCATGAAAATAAATTTGAAAACTTAGATGAAATGGAAAAATTTCCCCAAAGAAACTAAATAAAATAAAAGGAAAATTCTTAAATAAAATAAAATTCTAAATAGGCTTCTATCTGTTTGAAAAAATTGAATCCATACTTAAACATTCTCAAAAGAAAACTCCAGCAATAGATTATCCTCATTAAGTCTTTTAAACATTGAGGAAGAACAAATGCCAGTCTTACAAAATCTCCATCTACCTCATAAGGTTGTTGTGAGAATTAAAGTATATGTAATCCTTTGGATTTTCTATGCACACAATCATTTCATCTGTGAATAAAGATAATTTTAATTCTTTTTCTTTAAAATAAAACCTCCAGTACAAAATCGACTAGAAATGGTGATAGTGTGTCTTTGCCTTGTTCATGCAATAAGTATGACGTTAGCTATAAGATTTGTGTGTGTTTGCTTTTGGTCATTTGTCTGTTTATAGATGCCCTTTATCATATTATGAAAATTCTTTTCTATGTCCAGTTTGCTGAGAATTTTATCAAAAGTGGGTACTGAATTTTATTAAATGCCTCTCTGCATCTATTGAGATAATATAATATTTTTCTTTTCTTTATTCTGATAATATGGTAAATTATATTGATTGCTTTTCAAATATTAAACCCACCTGACATTTCTAGAATCAACTTCCCTTGGTCATGATGTACTGTCCTTTTTATATATTGTTGTATTCAATTTACTATTATTTTACTTAGGCATTTTCTGTTTTTGATAAATATTGATGTACAGTTTTCTTATAATTTAAGATGCATATTGGTTTGAGAAGAGTTAAAATGTGAAAAATGCATGTTAATACTTCTATAACGATGTTCTAGATCAGTGCTTTTAAAACTGCCTTGCCCCAAACCATAGGAAGTTCAGTGCACACGGCTGTGGGAGTATACATGCGTGAACGCACTCTGCTGCTTCAGTTATCTTCTTTTTTTAAATGATGGCTTGTAAGCACTGAATTGATTTTGTGACCCACGTATAGGTTGCTATGTGCAGTCTGAAAAACATTGCTTGCATATGGTAGTCACTGTATAAATGTCTGCTGTGGTCATCCATCTATGGATTTCCAACACTTGTGCAATGCCCAGTGCATAGTAAACACTTGATAAATGTCTGTAAATGAATCAATTTGGTCATCAGTGGCCTTTAATAGAGTGGCTTCAATAAAGGGTTGGGAGTAGTATCCTTTCTTTATTTTATTTATTTATATTTTTCATCCTCCCCTGAGGATATTTTTCTATTTATCTTCAGATAGACTGGGGGGGGGGGGGGGTGAAGAAGGAAGAGAGAGAAAGAAAAGGAAAGAGAGAGAAACATCGATGTGAGAAAGACACATTAATTGGTTGCCTCCTACACCACCCCTACCAGGGCCAGGGATGAACCACAACCGAGGTATGTGCCCTTGGCTGGAATCGAACCCGAGACTCTTGGTCCACAGGCCGACGCTCTAACTGCTGAGCCAAACCGGCCAGGGCTAGTATCCCTTTTTAAGACATTTTTTACCTTCACTCTGAGTGAGAAATAGGGTATCCCCTAGATCCATGTTTTCCTCTTACAACCGATAGCAAAAGAAATGTTCCGCCACCACAGTGAAGAGAAGGCTGCAGGACAGTTGTCTTGGTGGTGCACGTGCATACCCACTCCTGCAGCCGAGGCATCCGTTCCCTCACTGTCGCCTCAGTTAGGTAAATTATTTTGGTGGCTCCAAATTAGGGTGACTTTTAACTTGAATTTAGATCCCTAACTTTCTTAACAAAGAAAAGGCCCACAACCATGATGCAGCATCAAAACAAGGTCTTTGGGTATACAAAGTAAGTCGATCAAAGGCAGGGGTAATTATCAAACCTCTCAGATCACAGACTTTCCAGAGCCAGGTGAGGTTACTGTAACCGACGTATACTTTGCCACGGTCTATTCCAGTGTATTGAAAGACTGTGTCAAACCTTCTGACCAGCTTTGAGGAAGAGCTTTTGAACATCAGTCCTTATTGATTCAATTACGGGGAGAAAGGGGAAAAAAACAGATTTCGACCAAATGGGAAATGCAAATAAAACACTACTATTCTTTGGTGTATTTCAGAATCACTCGGTCCTAAGGGTTCTCAAGCAATTGATCTCCTGTGCACAGGTTACTAAGAGCAGCTCGCTTCCACGACGCTGTGCACCACTGCCACGGAACCAGAATCTAAATTTAGACTCTGGGAACAGAGGACTTGGGCTAACACTTTGAATGTGGTACTGAAAAAGAAAGGGCAGCCTTGGCCAGTTTGGCTCAGCGGTTGGAGTGTTGGCCTGCAGACCAGAGAGTCCCGGGTTCGGTTCCCGCTAAGGGCAAGTACTTCAGTTGCAGTTTGTCCCTGCCCCAGTTGGGGTCATGTGGGTGGCAACCACTCGATGTGTCTCTCTCACATCAATGTTGCTATCTCTCTTCCCCACTATCTTCCTCCTGCTCTATCTGAGGATAAATGCAAAAATGTCCTCTGGTGAGGATAAAAAATAAAATTTAAAAAAAAGAAAGAACATGTAATTGTACAGATACATGACTACTATTTTTACTTAGTAAAAGGAGTTTTAGTACAATTGATGTAGTGTTCTCTACTCTGCCCCCACAAAAGCTGTCCTTAAATTAATATTGTGTCTTAGAGAGTGTGGCATCTGAGTATTAAGGCTATCCAGTAATTCAGGGCCTAGATTGTCCCCAAACCTGACTTCTCATTGGAATCATCTGGGGAGCATTTAAAAATTAGGGTCTCTGCCCTGGCCGGTTTGGCTCAGCGGTTAGAGCGTCGGCCTGCGGTCCGGAGAGACCCGGGTTCGGTTCCCGCTAAGGGCATGTACTTCGGTTGCAGTTTGTCCCCGGCCCTGGTTGGTCGTGCGGGTGGCAGCCACTCGATGTGTCCTTTCACGTCGATGTTTCTGTTTCTCTCTCCCTTCCTCTCTCTCCCTCCCACTCTATCTGTAAAAAAAAAAAAAAAAAAAAAGGAAAAATATCCTCGGGTGAGGATAAAAAAAAAAATTAGGGTCTCCAGGCTTCACCTGGACCTACTGGGTAAACATCTCCAGGGGACAGAGCCCATGGATCTGCATTTCTTTACACACTCCCCTGATGATCAGCCAGATTTGAGAATCAATAAATAGCAGGTGGGAATCAAGTGGTTCCCTCGTGGTCTGAAGAATCAATGCACCTTCATTGCTGCTAACTCATTACTAGGGGAGGGCTTGGATGGCAAAGAAACAGAGCACACACATGATGAATTTCCGACTTTCCACCTGACGTAGAGTTTTTTTTCTATGTGAATTCAATATTAGAAGAGAGTTGGGACCAATTTTTCAAAGTGCTAATCTAGCACTACATTACTTTACCATAAAAGATGGTCACACTGTTGCATTCTGAGCAGCACACCCTGGATGAAAAAGATAACTTTATTTTAACCGGAATTCTCCTTATCATAAGTAAGAGACATAAAAATAAATCCCATCCTTCCATAACTGGAGAGAAAATAGTATATCTATATTTTTTGAGATAACATTGGCTTATAATATATGTTGCAGGTGTGCAACATTATAATCGAACATCTCCATATACTGCATCATGCACACCACCAAAAGTCCAGTTTCCATATCACCATACAATTGACCCTCTTTGCTGGTTTAACCCTTCCTACACCCTTCATCTCCTCTTTTAACCACCAATCTGTTGTCTCCATCTATGAGTTTTTTTTTCGTTTGTTTTATTTTTGTTTTTATATTCCATGTGAATGAAACAAATGTATTTATCTTTTTCCATCTGACTTATTTTACTTAGCATAATACTCTGAAGGTCTGTATTGTCACAAATAGAGGACTTCACCTTTTTATGGCTCAATAATATTCCATTGTATATAAATACAACATCTTCTTTATCCATTTATCCATCAATGGACATTGAGGTTGTTTTCATATCTGGGCTATTATAAACAATGCTGTAATGAACACAGGTATGCAATATCTTTTTGAATTACTATTCATATATTCATCAGATAAATACCGCCCCCCAAATTGCTGGATCCTATTGTAGTTCTAT